TTTTATTATTATTTAATCCTCTAACTATGCTTATTACTTATAGTAGCCTAAGCTCGAAATAGCTTTTTATACCTTTTTTTATTAATAATATAATAAAAAGAAGCTCGTTATTACTAATTAGTTTAAAAAGAACGTTAAGCGGATTTTTACTTAGTAAAATCTAAGTAATAAATATATTTTTACTTTTTTTTTTAATTAGTTCTGTAGCTTTTAAAATTATATAAGGATTACTTAACGTCGACTTACTAAGTAAGTATTAAAACTACTTACGGAATATTATAAAGTTATTAATAACTTTTTTTTTTATTTAACGAGTTAATTAAATAGGCCTAGCTAAGATAAAGTAGTTAAACCTTAGAGATTTATTTAGAAATTTAACCCGTTAATTTCCTAACTCGCAGATTTTTAACCTCGACGAGACCCTAGTTCTATTTAAATACTTTAACGGCTATACGTACGATAATATTAAAGCTAAGACCGTAGTTAGTAAAAGCGACCGTAATAACTAAAATAAGTAGTAAGCTATACTTATATTCTATATATTTATTAATAATATATAGTAAATTAAACTAAAGATTATTTTTTATAATAAGCTTATAAAAAAAGGAAGTTAATTATAAAAAAAGGAGGGCTAATTATATATTAAAGGAGTAATAGTTAAGTTTAATAAAACTACTTATAATAATAAGTACTTATTTAAATAATAAATTAAAAAGGAATTAGTAATACTAATTAAGGGTAACGAGTACTTTTTAGTTATAAACGTCGCTACTTTTTATAAAATAGATTCTATCTTTATATAATTACGTTAATATAATATTATACTCTATTTTATTTTATTAAGGACCACTTCCCTCCTCTAACTTCTTAATATTATAATTAATAAGCCTTTTAAATAATAGTTTTTAAAAATAACTAACGCTTACGTACTTAATAAAAAAAAAAAGTAATTAGTTAGTAAAAAGAAATTAAGTAAGAGACTAATATAAAAAAGATAATAATTACTTAGATAGTTATTATAATAGCTACGTAATTAGCTAATAAAAAGGGCCTAATAGTTAGCTAAGCCTTTTTATAATACGGAATATTTATTTAGTCCGATAATAGCTAAGTTAATAAGATCCGGATTAAAGACGTATTAACTAAGGCTATTAATTATACTAAATAAGAATTATATAATATAAAAGCTTATATTAAATAAGAGACGCTATAAGAGGAAATTCTAAACTATACTATTTAAAATAATAGGTTAGAGTATATTTTTATAATAGAGGACGTCCGTAATAATATTAATAAGTAGTATATTAACTTAATAATCTAACTGCTTAGTAATTAAGCTATTAAAAATAGGGGCGGGCTAGAGGCTAGGGGCTATTTATATATAGCTTCTAATTAACCTTTTTACTTATTTCTACTAATTTAATATAAAAAGCCCAAATCCGTTAAGTTTATTAAAATAATTATTAAATTAGATTAATTATAGGTCTAGCCTTAATAGTAAGCTCTTATTAGTCTAATTACCTAAGATATTAGCTTATATTAAAATTACGTAGCGGCCGTATTTACTTAAATTAAGTAGTATTACGGTTCTACTAAACCGCTAGTAGGGTTAGCACGGGCTAACGCAAGTTCGAACGGCGTGAGTTTCTACGGTACCCCCTTGCCCCAGGTTACGCTGGGATGCGGAGATATCGCGCTAGTTTGCCAGGCGTTGGTGAAGGCTGGAGGTGTTTGTTTGGTGTATACATGTGCGTGTGTGTGTGCCAGGTACTGCGCTTGTAAAAGACGAGGTACTGGTAGGCAGTCAGGCAGAGGTAACAAAGTCGAGGTCGACTTGGAGAAGCGCCCGTTAAGGTTCACGGTCAGGACCTTCTCCAATCTCCATAATTTTGAGCAACGTGGGCACGCGGGGAAAGTTGCTAGGGTTGGGGGTTTCAAGGCGGAGTTTGCGGGTATGATGTGTACACTGTGTGTGTGTGTGTGTGGATGACTGTGGGTGTTCGGCTCATCAACACCGACGAGCGACACGGCAATGAATGGGGACGTCAAGGGCGTACTCCGTACGTGCGCCATTCCATGATGATCAGGTTGTTGGCTGAATTCTTTTGGCGATCCGAGCTGCTGGAACTGGCGGCGAGGGAGGAGTATGTGTGTTCCGCACCCACACGTTGGGTATCCCGCACCCATACTAGGCTCGTTCAGGCAAGTGGTGGGCAGCACGTGATTACATTGCCGAACGGCAGTCACGTGCTGCGCTCTCGGCGCGCCTTCCTATTGTTTTTGCTTCTATTTGGACGCGTATTTCCCTCGCCTAAACACCTCATTTTTTGACTATTTTCAACACAGGAAAGGTACTTTTTCCAATACCAAAATATGGGCTCTAGAGACGTATTTCCTCTGAGCAAATCATGACTTTCAAAGTCGTCGTTTTGAAAAACGCGTACAGCCAGTATCGGAAAGAGGGTATAGCAGAGGAAGGTGCAGCAGAGGAAGGTGCAGCAGAGGAAGGTGCAGCAGAGGAAGGTGTAGGAGACCAAGGCGGGACGCGCCTTCCATTCCCCAGAAATTTCCGGAATAATAGTGGCTCCGGGCCAGAAGTGGCTGCTGCGGCGGTGCAATCACGTGCTGCCCACCACTTGCCTGAAAGAGCCTAGTATGGGTGCGGGATACCCAACGTGTGGGTGCGGAATACACATACTCCGAGGGAGGAAGACCCATGTTGACAAGAATCAGTCACATGGCAACTCGGGCGGTATTGTCTGAAGGTTGGATACCCTTGCCTTGTCGAGAGCGCAGGTGTGGCCTCTGAACTTCCACTTCCTTCAACCGCATGGAAAAGAACGATTCATGAAACTCGTTTGGCGGCAAGTGACTGGACGCTCTCGAACATAAGATAAGTACATTAGGCACATTGGCGTGTCATTGTCCACCGAAGCTAAGCTAGGCAACGCGCTTCGTAAAAAGATGTCAATTGCGCTTCAACTCCGCCCTAGTATGACTTTGTAATCCTCTAGTTTCTACTTTATTTCTCCAGCAGGGGTATCCATTTCATCTTGGTCTTTTTCTTTGATTCCGTGATGGCCCGTCTGCTCCAATATTGTTAGCCGGGCAACTTTTCTCCATCAAGTACTCCCGTAGGTACGTACTCTCGGATGCAAACATAGAAAAACGATACGTACCCGTTTGAAGACCATTTTGATTGGGTTACCAGAGTTCAATGTCCCGCCTATTACAGCCAATGTCGTCACTAGCAAAACTGGCACAAGATTGGAGGAGAATCAAGCTTTAGCGTTTGTCCTATGCGCTCCAATGAGAAGCGATGCTGAGGAATAGGTGACCCACATTGATAGGTGATGGTCTCCTCACCTTACGGATACTCTCAGGTACGTACCTCGACCACTTCACCTCGGGACTTGGCCTCCCAAAAGCAAAAGAAATGGCTGGAAAATGTTCCGCATTCTCTCGGTCCTCTCCGCAAACTCAACTCGGGTCACTCCAGCCTCCAGGTTCGTAGACACTCCTTCTTCTGGGTCTTCTCTTTTTTATTCATGCTTTGTTTTTGCTCGGGCCCGTCTCGACCGTTTTCGCGCTTCGCACTTACAGTAGGTACCTTAGTTCGGCCTGCTTTTCCGTTCTTCGGCAGCCGGCCCAACCAGCACTCATTTACTCCTCGTTGCTCTCCGGCTTCGCTTCAGCCTTCATATATTCTTCAACTGCTTGTCCTTGCAAATGTACGGATATCGGTAACAATTAGGCGATAATCTTCGCATCTGATAATCTTGGCAGCCTTCAGTACGCGCCTCCATCGCCATGTTCCGAGTCCATACCCATTGTCCATCACCCTGGCTGTTACCTGCGTGCCAAGCTGTTAGTCAGGCCTGAAATGGGTTCTGGCCTGACTGTGACAACCAATGTCGAAGCAAAAGTACGGATCAAGGCAACCCACCTGAAATGCTCTCCATCTTCATACCTCGGCTACTATCCGTACTGATCCATACTATGGATATGGCTAGGCGAAAGTCCATGGTAAGAGAGACAACGGAGACATTTGCATGAAAGCCCTTGCCTTCGATGCGTGCCCGTACATCCAGTCGTACATGTAGATATCGTATGCTTCCCCAAGAGCCAACCATACAATACACATGATGCCAACCTCAGCAACATGCAGCCCCAAGCAACAAAAGGGCCGGCTCATGGTTCCCCATCCATCAATATCTCCAACTATTTCCCCATTATCCCCAACAGACCCTGTTCCAACCCCACCATCCCATCCTAAGCTAGCATCTCCTCCCATCCTCGTCTCTCATCCCTCAGCAGACCATCCCACACAGTCATGCCGCATGCCCAATCTTGTGCCCAGTCGGAGCCGACTACCCCACTCCGATGCCCCGGCACCCGCATTATCGTCGACTTTCTCCGCATGGTATCCTCTATGATTCGCGCGCCTGTCGCACCACCTGCCTTTCACTTGTCGCTGTTGGAGTCGAGATTTGAGAGCCGCACTTTCTCTCCGCTCCAATATGTCTGATAACTGGTCAATATCGAGTGTGCCGTTGGTGTCGGTAACCAAGGCGAATCGGGGGCCACCCACCCCTTCTCACATAGCCCCAGTCCCATGTCTTGGCCCGGGTATCCCATCTCTGTGAAGGCGATTGTGACGGAAACTGATGCCCAAAACCGAGTAGTCAGATCCTGCTATGCGATCCCTCCTCTGCCGGCCCAATATCCTCCTCCATTGCCTTTCTGCCACTCTTCAGCCCGTCTCCGTTGTTTCACCGCTTGCCCCCGCCCCTGACGAGTTCAAATTCCGGCCTCAATCCCGTGCATTTGCGGCCACGGTACACATGTCCTGTCCATTTTCCACCACTCATCGACTAGCTGTTCTTTTTGCATAAAATTACCAGCTACCGGTTGATCGGACCACCACCGCCGCACACACGCTCGGACAGGAAGAGAGTGCTCTCACCACACCTTACCACACCGCAAAACAAGTTCTAGCCATGGCGACCTTCACCAAGATCGCAGAGGATGCTCGCCCCAGCATCACGCTGAACCCCTCCCATGTCGTCTCCAAAATCGATGACAATGTCTATGGTGGCTTCACAGAGTAAGCTTGTGCTGCGCCGCCTACGCCGCCTGCTTCTCATCCCGGGCTCCTCGCGTCTAAACATGCAAACCCACTAACACGCATCTCGTAGGCACATGGGAAGATGTATCTACGGTGGCATCTACGACCCTGGCAACCCTCTTTCTGATGAGAACGGTTTCCGAAAGGACGTTATTGAGGCTTTCAAGGAACTCAACTGCCCCGTTGTGAGGTACCCAGGTGGCAATTTTGTTGCTACTTACCACTGGATTGACGGCGTCGGTCCCAAGGAAAACCGTCCCAAGAGGTATGAGGGAACTCCCAACCTGAAATTCCGGTCGCCAGCATGCAAATCGAGACCCCTCGACACCGAATCCTCCGGGGGTCTAGACCCCTGCGTGAGCGGCCCGCGTTTGGAGTGCAGCGAGTGGCTAACATGCATCCACCATTTAGGCCTGAGCTGGCTTGGATCGGCGTCGAAAGCAATGAATTCGGAACAGACGAGTTCATGAAGTGGTGTGAGGTTGTTGGCGCTGAGCCTTACCTGGCCCTCAACTTTGGCACTGGCACGCTTGATGAGGGTAAGTTGATCTTCCAGTAGCACCGACCTGGACTCGGTCCGGACCCGGTCCTGGTCGATGGGTACGGTTGGCTAATACTGGCACGTTCAGCTCTTGCTTGGGTTGAGTACTGTAACTCTGACAAGGACACCTACTATGCCAACCTCCGCCGTAAGAACGGACGTGAGAAGCCTTACAACGTAAGTCCGACCCATTCAAAGACTGCCCAAGTGCGTGCACAGGGTCATCTTGCTCAGCTTTCAACCACAGGTCAAATACTGGGCCTTGGGCAATGAGTGTTGGGGCCCCTGGCAGGTCATGCAAATGACCAAGGAGGACTACGCCAAGCAGGCTTACCAATGGGCGAAGGCACTCAAGCTTCTCGATCCCTCTTTGGAACTGATCCTCTGCGGCGAAACTGGCTTCAGCAGCTGGGACACATATGTGATTAAGGAGTGCATCACATGGAGTTTGCATGGTCTCGGTGGTAGCACCACTGCGTCGTTGATCGACATGCACAGCATCCACCTTTACACTGCATCGGAAGACCATCTGAAGAATGCTACAGGTAAGTTATCTCCGCCTGTCTACTTGTCACATGGCCAGATGCCAGTCATAAGATAAGATAGACGACTGACATTGTCTCCTCTCCCCTACACAGCACCCAGAGCCGCCGAGCGCGCCATTGAAATCACTGGCAGCCTTATCGATCTGGCCCGCATTGAGAACAAGGTGCCGCCCACATGCAAGAGACAAAAGATTTGCTTCGACGAGTGGAATGTTTGGGATCCCGTCAGAGCACCTGGTGAAGAGGGTGCTGAGGAGGCGTAAGTCGACACTTCCTCTATTTCTACCTTTGTGAATCATGCCAGCAATACTAACGATGAGCCGCAGATACACACTGTCTGACGCTCTGGCCGTCGGTGTTTGGCTCAACGTATTTGTTCGTCAGGCAAAGTACGTTGGCATGGCCAACATTGCTCAATCTGTTAACGTCATCTCTCCCTTGATGACCACGAAGGAAGGTATCACCAAGCAAACTACTTGGTGGCCTCTGTTGTTGTTCAGCAAGTACATGAGAGGATCTACCATCGCCACCCACGTGCGCGCTCCCGAGTACGAGGGCGCCACCGAGCCCGTCTGGATCCGTGGCGCCATCGAGACTCCTTACCTCGACGTCAGTGCCACCATCGACGACAACGGCTTTGTCAACTTGGCTGTCGTCAACGTCCATGAGACCAAGGGATTCTCCGTCGATCTCGAGGGTGTCAAAGAGGGTGCCGATGTTCAGGTTTACACCGTCACTGGCGAGAATGTCAAGGTCGTTAACACCGGCGACAAGAACCCTGTCGGTATCACTGAGAGCAAATGGGATGGCAAGGGCCCGTACGAATTCGCCAAGGCCTCAGTCACCCTGTTGAGATGGAAGCACTAGAGGGGCAACCTTGAAGGAGACGGTCAGTGGGAAATGAGGCATAGCTCCTCACATGATACCATTTGGAAGGGAACTTGCGCATGATGAGATATGATACATCATCATAGCAGACTCGAGCCCGCAAGGGAGGTGGGCTGGCAGGTCCAGCATCACGAGGCACCTATGCATACTTCTGCGCTTATCCGCACATATCGGACCAAACAGACAGCTCCAATCGATGCAAAAGTGCCTCAAATTGATGCAGCGTAGTGAAAATGGCCTGCTCTAAAATGAAGGTGTTGTATTTTTCTGCTCATAGCAACTGTCGTTTAAGCGGATGCGCCTCTGTGTTCAAGACATACTCGTCAAGATTAACTAGGCTAGGAGGCGAGAAGATGAGATAGAAATACTTCAGCGTTTCCGCCATCCAGAAGCTCTGTAGTACCGTTAGTCTGCGTCCTATACTTGCCTTTGGCTCCTCGCAGATGTTGTGACTTACTTCCATTGAATCAAGCTTCTTCGTCTCTCCTCTGACAGTGACGTCCTCAATAGCCGAGTTGGCAATCTCAGTTTCTGTCGCATTCACAATAGACTGAAACATAGTCCATGCTATTTCCTGGTACTCCGGGTTTCCGGTCATCCTATACATCAGGAAGATACTTTCAATCGCCTCTGGACGCAGAATGTAACGGGGGTCCCGCGCGTGTGAGAACCCCTTTTTCAACCCTGATGCACCTTCGCGCTTCCACCGCCCCTCGTCCCAATTACAGCCATCCAGTGTCTCGCAAGGAACCATGCCAAAGATCTCCGGCATCAGACCTGTTGGGAATGAGTTGTACGCCCACCCGCAGCCGCGGGCCAGCCTTTCGGCGAGACCCATGTGCTCTTTGATACCGAAAAGCTTGCCGCCCAGCCCAAACATCCCGCCAACGAAGCACGACAAATGCTGGCTCTCGGGGTTGCGCCGCACATCGCCTTCGGCAAACGCTGTACCAGAGAATAGGATATCCTCGTTGTCGGGGAGCATTGGACGGAATAGGAGGTACTGCTCAACAACGTGCATCGCATGTCGATACATCTTCTCGTAGGCTGGGTCCGTCCCTCCGAGCAGAGCATGCATCTTGGGCAGATACTCATACAGAGAGTCGGCGAGCGCTCCCAATGTGAACTCGTTGTGTTGCAAAACACTCTCATCCCGGAAGTTGATGAGCGCCGGCCACATACCTGGAAGTTGAGTCTCCCGCTGCGTGCTCTCGAGAAACAGCTTGACCCTCTCGATTGCGTCAAAGTACTTGTGGTCCCCGGTCACTTGCGAGAGTCTTGTGAACTCAAGCGATAGCGAACATGGCGATGCTGAAGGATCCGATGTACCAGCCACGAGCTTTCCCTCCTTAGCAAGCTGGAAATCCAACCAGAAAGGAGGCATCCTATTCGGTGTGTCAAAGGCCGCATACAGCATGTCGCCGAGCTCAATGGCCTTGAGCAACAATACGGGTTCCCCGCTAAGGTCGTACGCGCTCAATAATCCTCCGAGATGACGGATAGTAGTCTCAAAGACATTGACAGCCGTCTCCTTTGTATCATCCCAATCCATGGCCCCAATGACAGACAAGGCAGCGTCAAAATCATCGCGCAAGTCCATTATCCACAGGGAATCGAGCGCGTCAACCAGAGTTGCTGCATAACCGCCGAAGGTGTCTTTCCCCTTGGCCGTAACCGGCGTCAGCTCGTCAAAGCCCCACGCGTACTCCTTGTAACTATTCCAGCTCTTGACAAAGACTTCTCGGACCGCCGTTCGTCGCGATTCAGATTTCGCATCGTTCTTGCGCATTCGCTTGGCGCCGAAATTGAATTGGACTCGCGGGAGAGTCTTTGGCCGCTGTGTAGGTAGATGGTGCATTCGTGATGGGGATATGGGGTACTTGTGACGATGGTTGGCCCAGTCGAAGCTACTCTTGACGAGGCGGATGTTGACATGTTCGCGGACGACGGGAGGCGTTTCCCTGCTGTAACGAAGACTGTTGAAAGCAAAGAGACCGAAAAGGATTACGGCGATGATTATGACACGCCGTTGTCGTCGATTGGCCATCTTATCATGTCGGACGGGGGTTTGTCGACTATTCGTATAGTTGTTCAGGATACTCCAAGGGAGCTTTGACTGGAGAGTTCGCGACGGGAAGCCATGGTGTAGGGCCACAGCTGCTCAATGTCAGCTTCAGACAAAGCATATAACCGAGGGGACATTGTGTCTCAGGAGCCGCCACGTAGCGCGTTGAGCCGGGTCCCTTGAGACGAAAGTGACCGTGGTGGCTCTCAAGGTTTAAGCGTTTTGAGGGGCGTAGGTAGTGCAACCAGCAATGCGAGCCTTCAGAAAAGAAATGGGGTTCAAATCAGGGGTAAGGGGTAGTCCGTACCGGTTAGGTGGAGTTCGGGGCCGATACTTTCTCCATGTTTGGCGCCGGGCTCCATCCGGGCTTAACTGTTCCGCCCTGAATCCCCGCCATGCAGATAACTCGAAGTCATCAGGTTATGGCACCTTGGCTTCGGCTTGTAAACCCTTGGGGGTTGTTACTAGCAACAAGCTCAGAACATCAGGACGACAGCCCTTGATGTCTCCTCTTTAAACACCTTACGTGCCTAGAAGTGCAGGCCATGATCTTCCAGCGCTCTTTCAAGGGAGCAGGCAGTCTCTCCCCACCAACACCCTTGGAAGATCCCTTGCCCTCTCAGTTCGCATCCATCTGACAGAAGCTGTCAGAAGTAGTGGCGAAACTTCGTTGAGATCAGCTACTATACAGCTATTTTGGGCGAACACTATCGGGAACTGATCGGGAGGAGGCAGGCTTCAGACGTTGGTCCTGCGTCTTAGTTAAAGTTCGGTGAGGCAGCGCGTTTTTAGTAAATACTTGGTAAGAATGCGAAGCAGCTGCATGCAAAAAGGGAAGGGACAAGAAGGGAAAACACCTTAAAAAATAAAATAAAATAAAAAGAAGAAGAGAAAACTCCAATGGACCTTGATTGTTTGGAGCATAGAATTTGCGCTGTTTTGTACAGTCAAATTTGCTCGGGCATATCACCTTGAGTCGGGAAAAGTCAATGATGTACTGTGTCGCGTGTGAAGTAGACGGTTGATAGCCGCTATCTACGGTGACAATTTTGTTAAGCTTCCAAACTGTGTCGGAGGTGGCGCAACTAGCCGCTGGCCCGGAACGCTGGAACAGAACGAGACCATTCTTGGTTGGATGGCGATTGCTTAACCAACAAATTGCATTTTACTCTCACGATTTGAGCAAGTTGACCATTCCAGCATCGGTGCCGTAAGTTGTCAATCAAGCTCGCCGCAAAGTCACCGTGTCGGACGTTGCTCATGCCGGAGATGACGCCGTCAGCAGATCAATTCCCGTTAATCCTCGTCGTCTCTCGGCGCCCGACTGGAGCCGGCGTGCTGGGGTGTTGGGTGACTCCGCGCAGAGACCCTAGCGATTCCCAACCAGGAGCTCAAGCAAGCGACATGCCAATCCAACCAGATCTGTAGATTTAGAACCTTAGTGGTGACTTAATTCTAAGAAAAACAGAGGGAGGCTGAACACCGTCCCTCTCTCTCTCTCTCTTTTCATTTTCTTTTTTTTTGCCGCAGTCTTTTTTTTCTCGATCGTCAACGACATTCTCTGAGACGGCCTGAGCGAGAGGAGCCAAGTGACTTCGACAACAGACTTCTTCCGCAAATCAAAGAAAAGTCATCAAAGCCTCCAGCCACTCGGTTGACAGCCCGAGGCACTAAAGGGGTCCTTGAAGTCAAGGACTAAGTTTAGCTACATCCATTTTGTTGCCCACGGGCAAAAAACCTGCCGATGACAACCACGTTGGCTTAACTGAGTTTAAGTTGTCACTGATCGCAAAGTATCGGTACTTGAGAGTGGTGTGAACCCCACCCGCTAGTGGACTGCCCTGTATGTAATAGACAAGAAGAGCCATACAAAATAGTATTTGACAGCCGGCCATGCTCCCATGGTGGTTTGCATCCTCGCAACAAGTGGTTCCATTTTTACTGCAAACATCTCATAGTGTTCGATCTGGTATTTCCAAGTTCCTTTCGTCTACCTTGTCTGACTTGTCACGCTGTCTAATGTGCTAACGCAGAGACATTGCGGTGGTTCATCAGCATCAGCTAAACTAGATCGTCCGCCATCCTTTGTGCGTCCACGCATACCCAATTGCCACCCTCCTGTACCACATAGTCGGGTCTGAGGTAGGACAAGATCGAGCAGCAGCGGATCTACGACTTGAACTAGCTTGTCACATCCACGTACCGCTCTCTGAGAGTCTCATCATCTTTTCGCGATTTTGTGCAACCACTCTCATCTCACTCGATTCCATCATCACGAGGGCTTTGTACAAGATCAGAAACCACGGCAAGTCAGTAACATGGTGGATGTTAAAGCGCCACCGCCGTCATCCGCGAATCAGCAACTACACGCATAACTTGAAGGGAAGAGCTATCAATTAGTCATAACCAAACCACAATATGGACACAATAAGCGCGATGGCTTACTTCACAACCTTCTGCGTCTGGGCTGAGTTGAAGAACAAGGCATTGAGCCGATTCCGCTGGGGGAGCGCAAATCAACTCGATACTTCAATGCATTTACTGTTTGGTGCTCTATGAATGCCAGTATTCTTCCGTGTATTAGACTAACTATCAAGGGTGCGAATGTTGTCTGTTAACAGCACTCAAGGATCACGTTCGGTATGCTGGGTCCTTCGCTCTTTGGTCTCAATCTCCGCGACTCGTCTCTGATTGTTCTCTTCTTCACGTTGCTGTCAACGTTGGCCCCGGCCCTTCTCGCAACGCTTGGTCCCAAAACGGTTATGCGCTCGACGATACAAGCGCGATGCAGCTTCGGGTCAGTCATCTCGCCAGCCAAGATAACTAGGGATTGCTGACCTCTTTCCCCAGGCGCTACCTTGTATCGGTGCTAGTCATCCTCAAGCTCGCTACATGGATTAGATTTTGTATCATT